AACTGCCCCCTAGGATTACCTCGGCTGCCGTCTTTACAGGGGACAGAGCGCTGCGCTGAAATCAAGGTGATGATAGGATAGTGTCCCTTTCTAGTGGCTTTTGGGGAGAATGTTTCCAGGCTTGCGAGCAGGGTTAACAGAATTCAGTTGCATGCAATTGTAGGACCGAAGTAACCATTTCCTCGCTATTTCTCAGCTGGGGCTGCCGTAGCTCCTGGCGGTCTCTTCCTCTGGCTGAGACACCTGGCCCCTACATCCCAGCGCCAGCAGCAGGGCCTGGTGCCCTTACCCTGCCGAGTCTCCCCTCCCTTCTGTCCTTGCTCCCCCCGGTTCACTTTTCCAGCCTCCCTCTTCAGACCTCATCTGATTAGTCGCTCTACTGGACACTTGTTGACCACCTTCATTCCATCTCCCATGGTCACAGGCAGAGCAGCAGGGATTCCAACACGGACATCATTGGCAGGAGTGAGGGGCATGCTCTACCTGCCTTAGGGATGGCTGCATCCGGTCAGGGCCTGCCGGGTGCACATCCACAATGACCAAGAAGACCCCATTGACAGCGGTGGGGAGTGCTCCACCCCTTCTGGGGTCTCGGGCATAAAACTGCCAGGCAATTGCTTCCCGGCCTTTTGGTTAAAATCAAGTGTAGTATCTGTTCATATCAGTTTAATATCTGATGCGTCCTCTATCCGAGGACAACATATTAAATGTATTTTTGCAAGTAGGAGTTGGACTAGGAGCTGGCTCCATCCACCCCACACATCAGCCTGGTATTGCAGTATTTCCAGGAATGGTGCACACACAAAAATAAGAACTGCCAGGCAATATGCCAGTCAGCCCCAACCAGTGTGTGCCTGTGATCGAAATGGATGTGGTCATGACAGATCATGGAGCTAGACAACTTTTAGGCCACTAGAGTTACACTGTGAAGCTGAGAGTTAGTGAAGTAATTGATTGTAAAAGGGCAGTGGGAGGGAGTGTGGAGGTCAGGACGGAGATGATGCATTTGATAGTGCTGACCACACTGGATCTTTTCTGTGCATGTAAAATTTTATTCTTTAAAAATCACCATAGAGAGTGTGTCTGCAGGCAGCAGAGTCTCACCTGGGTCCAGTACAGTGTGTAACATTAGGAGACCACCTTTCCATTCCCCCTTGTGGTCAATAAAGAGATGCCCATAGCCCAGGGCCATGTGGCTTTCAAACCCCATGGTCGGACTGTGGAAGCCAAAGATGCCAAGCCCCCCACTGGGGGTCTCTTGTTCCTGAGGGAGGCGGCAGGCCCTGTGGCAGCTTGTCTTGCGGAGTCAGCGTGGCTGGCCTGGCCTGCAGGAATCCTGCTGCACTGCCTGCTCACTCCTGTAAAGCCTCTCAGCTCAGCACGGCGGTCTCTCGGCCATTCTCCCCCTTCCCACGCTGCGAGTGTCTCTTCTCTGTAAACAAGAGCAGAGCAAATGAGGGAGCAGCAGGAAAATAAAGCTTCCTACTCACTGATCTGCCTTTCCGAGCTGAGACCAGCACTGGATCCTCATGATAGGAAACAGGAACCTGACCTTGACCCCTTCATCCGCCCAAGACCCATAGTGGAACGGTTTGCCAGGAATAGGGGGAAAGGTTTATTGGGGTGGGGATGGGTTCAGTCCTCTAGTGGTGTGGAGGTCAACAGTACTGAGGTCAGCAGAGAAGGGGCAGCCCCTCACCTGCGCCCCTGGTGGAGGCACCCCACATGCACTTAGGGTGAGCCCCTTCCACGTGCTCACCATGGTCCTTCTGCCCTTGCAGGTGAACTGAAGGAGATCAAGCAGGACATCTCCAGCCTACGCTACGAGCTTCTTGAGGAGAAGTCGCAAGCGACCGGGGAGCTGGCAGACCTGATCCAACAGCTCAGTGAGAAGTTTGGAAAGAACTTAAACAGAGACCACGTGAGGGTGAACAAGGGCAAGGACATCTAACTGTGCACCTGGGCATCTGTGACTTCTACCAGCATTCCAAGGCCAGGCCGGACCCCTGGCCACCAGCTCTGGCCGGGAGGGGCCCCAGGCCCACTCCTCTGTGCCGTGAGGGGGATTCACTGGCTCATCGTC